TCAAGGAGAAGCCTTGAACCGTACATATCTGAACATCTGAACCTTGCACGTAGTCATCCTCAAGTAGTAAAGTAGATCGAATGTGGAACAAGGGAACAACGTGGATCACCTCTATCCATTTCTGTGACCCCCATTCCAATACCTATCTAGTCAGTGGGTAACCTTTAACCTCTTTTTTATTTTCTCAGTAAAATCCAACAGTATTTTCCAGGCAAACTGAGGGAGTCAGCTCTCATACTTTGGGGGAAGCTTTGATCCCCATCCATGTAAGCTACAACCAGCACCCATAGCGAACTGGATGGTGAGCAGTGAGAAATACAATCATCAGGGGTGGTTGTGAGTGAGTTTGACCACAAGTGCGTCCATCCAGTCTAGGGCCATGTAAAAGAGAACTCGGACCTGCCACCCCCCCAAAAAGGGTTCTTTATTGGGTCTGGTGTGCATTGGCTCGTGTGAAAGGCCACAACCAACCCTGGGGCAGATCGATCCTTGCTCGAGGGCACGAGCGGCGGTCTATTGCTTGGCTGAGCGCCCGTCACCCGAATAAGGAAGACGCAAATTTTGAAGATGTGACAAGGCGAGCCGTTTTCGTGTCGATTGGTTTTGTGGGTGGGTCCTTAATCAATCACCAGCTGACATGTCCGATCCTGCACAGTTTGGCAAGTGGACAGGGGAGTGCACCAACGAGCAAACCGACATCAGTATGTAGCTAAGTATATGCACACAAATTTACTATATCAGCTGTGGACACAGAAATCGTCACACATGTGATTTATATATTTGGCTTCATGTTTCAGTTCAGACGCGCTGCCGATATACTGCTCAGAGTACCAGACTTGTTGATACTTTTTGGTAATATATATATACATATATCCCAGAGGCTCATGGACCCCCAAGCTGCTACCTGTTTGAGGTCCAAAACCTTGGCTGTGAGGGTCAAAAACCTGGCTATGAGGGTCCAATGAGCCTTTGGGATATATTATATATTAGAGAGTTTAGTTCAGTGTTCAAGAGCAATGCTTTCCCTAGAACTACAGTTGACAAAACAAGAACTACAGTTGATGACAAAACAAGAAGCGATAAGGCATGGTACAGTACACTTCAAAAATATGTCAAAGTTGTTGATCAAGAATCAAGAATGTTCAGAGCTGCCAGTCAATTTGTTTGCCAAGTGCTTCCATATCAAGGGGTAGGCCTGGCTATACCAGACACCAGACATTCACGAACCCTCCAGCCAGAACCTTGTCAGCGCGAGCAAGCACACCGCAGCACCCTGCTGCGCAGCAACCCATCCAAAGTGAATGTCAACAACCCTTAACAAGCAAGCAGTGGGATCCGTTCGGAATACCACTTGCCCCAGATTGTTGTCATATCCATACCATTGGGAGGTGTTCATCCCAATTTAATCCTTAAGTATATATGGGAAATGGTGATGTTGCATAATTTAGATCACATGTATATAATACATGTATACAACCACCCTGAGATGGAGAAAAGGTAGAGTTTCGGCCGGAAGAGTAATGAAGAACATGTTGTAGCCGGGTTTTGCGGATCAGTGTTGTTTTTTTTAAGCTTTCCCTATAAGGTTACGGTAAATCCCCCAAACCTGGGGAATCCTGTGTTTTGTGCTTGTTTTGTTTCCCCCGCTTCCTGGACAGCAGATCCAAGGATAGGAGGCAAACTGTGGACTGGACTCGTGTTTGACGATCCCCAGCAGAGCCATTTTGGGCCACGCTGCTGATCGATTCGATTTGGCATGGCCAGATGAGCCATGAGCGTCGGAAGCTCATGAAGTGCCGATGTTGTTTCTTGTTTGATGGCCTAGTATAGATCCCCAACAAGGGTTTGATCTACGGCTTCGGTGTTTCCAGAACGAAGTCGAGAACCCCAAATCCCCAGAGAACTCAAAGGGCGCCCACTCGTTGAGCTTTCAGACGCTCCAATCCTTGCACCGCGACGCCTTTTTGCCAATTCTTTTAGTTACTTTGTCAGCTGACGGCTCATGAGGCCAGCTCGAGTGCGCTCGGGTGCCGACGGCTGACTCGAAGGTTGACTGAGCCATGGGACCGTTGCGTCGCTCAGCGGCGGCTTTCGTGAATGATGACCTGCTGAGCAGATGACCTGTCTGTCAGATCGAGGTTCTTCTTCCAGACTTGGCTGTGAAGGCTTGGCACCGAACATTCGGGGCTGGGGTCAATGCTATATCTCTTGTTATATCGATACCGTCGATACCCATTGAGGGTGCTTCGACTCCGAAAAACGGAATCTCCATGCCTTGGGAATTGGAAAAGTAGCAACAGCAAACGGGCGACCGGGAGCTTCCCCAACAACGGGGCTCCGGTTTCACCCCAAAGAAGCGACCGGGACACCGTACATCCCGATCCCCCCAACACAAGCACAACAACACACCCACACCCGCACAAGCATGCACATAAACACACATATACCTCCGGGCAGGACACTTTCTTTAAGACCGCGTCACTGGGGCGGTTCTTGCCTGCCGTAAAATGTTGTGGCACATTTTATGGATACTGCTGCATGCTGCAAACTTTCACAATCTTTCACACATTCCATGCAGCCGCAGCAAGTGTGTGTGTGTGAAGTGTTCGGGCACACGTTCCTAGTGCCAGTCCTTTCTGGAGCTTCTCATGTTCTCACACGTTCCCCCACGTTGGATGTCAAAGTTCACTCGCGGATGCCTCCCGGTGGGTCTCAGGCTTTTTCCACGGCCGGTCCTGGCACCCAAACAGATGTGTGAAGAGAGGACTGCATCGAACGCAGGGAGCCATGTGCATCGAATGCAGGGAGCTGCTTGTTTCGCGATCTCCACATGTGTTTGGCACCCTCCCTGGGTTTGGCTGGGTTTACCGGCTGTGTCGACCGTTAACTCTTTATAAAATATCGATTGACATCAGGCTGTGAAGTGCGCCCAAAATGTGCGACGTCGCTTGGGCGGCCGGATCGGTAGGTGATCTGGGATCGCGACGTCGAAGCATCCCCCGAAGATATGGGATTGGATGAGGTCGGGTCTGGAGATGTTTATATATACCCTAGCAGTCCTCCGCTATTCAAACAAAGGGGGAGGGACGTCGACCTTCTGCTGCAGACAACCACTATTTTCCAGGTGGATTGCTCAGGCTGACAACGTGGAGAGGCCATTTTGGCCCCGGGACAGTGCAAAGCACTCAAGGGCTTGCTCTGGCATATGTTTTGGTCAACCTTGTCATGTATCAGATCCAGTATGTTTAAAACACACGACGGCTTGATCGAGATCTGAAACAGAGACACAGTGCCTAGAACAGATAATGAAACCGATAAGTGGGAGAAATGGTATATTACTTACCCGACTGTGGACGCCATGGGGCTCACTTGTCATGAAGCGAGCCTTGGCAACCCGCTCATAGCTTAGCCTCGCTAGCTGAATTCTTTAGAAGTGTACCAGGTGCACCCTTTGCCATTACCCAAGCTTGCCCAGGTGCGTTAGAACAAGAATGTGGGGAGGACATTATCGATCTGTCGGATGTAGAAGGCACGCTGTCCCTCTACCCTTTTTGTGCATTGCATCTTAGTCTTGCCCAGTGGATTAAATGTTTGATCGTGGTATTCCTATCTGTGCTGTCATGGCTTGGCTCCGTAGCTGGTGCAAACAAAAAGGCAACCTATGAGTCATGAGTTCCAATCTTCCTGGTACTGTTACCTTCTCTCCACAGCTGAAGCAAGCCATGTCTTCACCACCGCGAGTCGACCCGAAGAGGGTAGCTTTGCTGAAGGCAATCTGGCAGCTATGCATGAATGAATTTATGTGTACGCACACTTCTGTAAACATGATCTAGACATTAATTAAGTTTAAAGTGTTCGCGAAACAAAACATGTTGTCCATGCATGCATATAAACGCGCACTGGACAGGACAGAACTCTATATTTTTTGGGGGGGTCAGGAGTGCTTCAAGAACTTCTGTGAGGATGAATCCTGGGTGGCAGATCGGCGCAAGATTTTGCGTGTCAGAGCAGGACTCAAGGATTCCGATCGAAAGCTGGTTGCTTGATTCATATTAAGCATTCAATGCATTACATTGGAATGCATAGATCTATAAACAGACTGTGTTTCGGATTCCAGTATTGATGAGGTGCCCAAATTTCGATTCATTATTTTGGAGGGTCGTGAACTGGGTGAACGTGAGGTGAGGAAGAAGCGTTGATATGCTGAGTGAGTATGAAGTACCTATATCAGCTAGCTCAGCTCAGGTTTCTTTGGTGAAGCAACATTGTTTGACATATTTGTCATGATCCTGTAGGTGGAGTCGCCGCACAACATTGAGTTTTGCCTCCAGTATCTTGCGAGCTTTGCTCATCAACTACCCCGAAAAAAGGAGATAGAGGTGGGCAGGATAACATTCGTATGTGAGTGCATGCATGCATCCTATTTCAGTTGTTGATCAATGATCATTCCATTGGACAGGTAGCTTTGGCGTTTCTGTCCGTCCACTATCGTCTCAATCCCTGGAAGAAGATCGAACAGCACCAGGCCAATTCTCAGTGTTCTGTTGTTTTTGTTGCACAAACCTTGGTTCAGGATTGGGCTGCTGTGGAGGCAGGTGTGGTTCAAGCAATGGGATCGTGGTGTTTGGACAGATTCCAGCGTAATCGAGGAGTCAGGCGGGTCACAGTGGTGTGTAGTGTGGTGTGGGTATTTTTGCATGACCTTTCAGTTTCATGTGGCTGCTAGGTTGTTTCGAATCTCTCTCATTTATGTATTTAATATATGTTTCGTTCATCTCTCTCACTGTCCATCTCGAAAGAGACATTCTTTCAATTAATGCAATCAATTGATCTATCATCAACTGTTCGGATTCCAGGTCAGGGCACTCTGGGATGGATTGCATCAAAAAAATCATCTACGCAAAGCTTGAGGCCTAAACAACATAGGATTGTTGATAGTTGATGTAAAGCTGTTTTGAGATGTTTTGAGGCTAATTTGTCGATGGTGTTAACAGCTCACCATGCACAAGCCACGAGCCGGGCAGGAGCACAACATGCTTACACCGGAAGGGAAGAAAATTCCAACACGTGGACGTGGAATGAGCAAGAAGGAAAGCTTGATCGATATGCGTGTGTTTAAAAGTTTAACCAGTCAACATGCAATGTTTCCTGTCGAAATGTCTCACCATTTCCGCAGGATTTGAACAAAGAAGGTGAAGCTGAGGAGCCGAAGAAAAAGTCCGGGGAAGTGCCACAAGGCATAGATACCATGGAGACACAGATTATGGAGGAGCCTGAGTCCCAGGCTTGGTCGCCCTCTCCAGTACATGCCATGCAATCGCTTGACCTGTCTCCGGGCATGGCCTTACCATCGAAATTGTGCCGAGGGAAATCCAAATCCTTTTTGGGCTCACAGCCATCAGGAGATATTGTTACTTTGGATGAATCAGACGATGGTGGCTGTGAAGATCAGGATGATGGCTCCGAGGCAGAATTGTGCTTAAAGGGTGACAGTGTGGAAGTCTTCCAAGACAATGACACGGTCCAGATTTGTGACAGTGATGATGAATGTCTGATGTCTCCACCACGTCCAAAGGGGGAAGAACGAAGAGCTGAAGAAGAGAAACCTGTGGCTGAGGCACCACCCACACATGCGCCAGTGCTGAAGCCGAAGGAGGAGCCAAATGAGCAGGACCCACCAATTGAGCAGACATGCAAGGAGAAGCCAAAAGAGGTGATCCAAACACCACATCGTGAGGTTGTTGCTGGTCAATCAGAAAGAAAGGTCAAACCAGAGATTGAAGAATCAAAGGAGCATGTGGAACCGAAGATTGAAGAAACAAAGGAGCCAGTGGGTGAGCCATTCAAAGAAGACATCCCGTTGCCAGCCGACAAAGCCTTGGAAAGCAAGCGTGAAATGGAGGCACTTGCAGCAGTGGAAGAACAGGTAGATAGTGAAACTGAAGGTGGGAAGAAAGCCAAAAAAAACACTTTCAAGGACGGGGTTCTTTTTGGTTATGGGTTTGTCCTTGTCCACAAGCACTAATCTAACACAATCTATATATCCTGATCGATACATGGTTTGTGTGTGAACTAATTTTTGGCTGCCTCCAGGATCGGAAGCCTTTGGTAGACCTGCCCGACATGCCAAAGGATCTAGAGACTGAAGTCCGAAAAGTTCTAGCAGCTCAGATTGAGCAAACCAAAGCCGAAGCACAAGCAGAAATTTTGAAGGCGAGTCTGCGCACGTGCGTTAAACTGATCACCTGAAACACAGTCAAAACAGAGTTATGCTTTTCTTTTGCACACATACCTACATGATCAAGGAAGAACCATGAATTAATTAAGAAACAATTAAATGGTACATGTCTCCAGTTGTCCTCTTTGACAGGCCCAAAACGCTTTGGCTAAAATGCAAAAGGAAGCTGATGCAGAGTTTGAAGATCCTGACCGCGCCTTTCGAGACGAGGATAATGATCAGGATGAGGCAGAGGAGAAGAAGACACGAGGCAGAGGAAGAGGCCGCGGGAAAGGAAGAGGGAAAGGGCGAGGAAAAGGATCAGGAAAGGGAAGAAAGGGATCAAGCAGCAAAGAAAGCACACCACATGAAGCCAGAAACGCAGACGCAAAGGGTGAAAGACCTGCAACACCTGCAGGTGTGAGTGGTGAAGCTGGTGGGCCACACGCGTCTTCTAGCGTGGATGTTCCTCCTGCAGTTTCCGAAGAAAAGAAGGACGAGAGTCTTGAAGTTGGAGTTGAAGGGGGTGAAGATTTGATTCGAACTCCTACAAAGAAGCAAAGGAGAAAGGCAGTGAAGCGGGCTGTGGCGCAAAGCCCATACAACCAAGACAATAAGAAAGCCAAGAAAGGGGAGGAAAAGAAGGATGATGGAGAGAAGCCTGGAGATGGTGAGCGTGAAGAAGTGCCAGAGGAAAAAGCAGAGGAAGGTACGAAGAGAAGGCGACGAGCTTTAGATGAAGCTGAGAAGAAAAAGCTTGAGGAGAAATTGGACAAGGCATGATGATTTGGATGATATTGGGTGTACATGAGTTGAATGGGTGTTTTGTTCCTTTATTGAATGTCCAGGTGTTGTTGATTTTTGCCAGATTGCCTTCAAACAGTGTTCACAAGAATTATTACCTATAAAAGATTGAAACAATATATTAAAAAACAATTTTGATCACCAGCAATTGGAAGATTACAAACATGGTGCACTCTTGGAGGCAAAGGTGATGAACTATGAGCAGTTGAAGAAGATTGCCGCTGACGACGAGCTTATGGTCCTGCCAAGCTGGGAAGACTTGGCAAACAATCGGTCTGGCCCTGGGTAGTCTTTAAACTGATGTACTATAAGTGCAATGCTACCATGACTGGATATTATGCATCTTCCATCTTAACGGAATCATTTTGTAGTTAAGGTCTTTCATGCTTTACCGTCCGGAAGAACCTGTTATGGAGTTCGAAGGGTCGACAAAGCCCGCGCGCATCCAAGTATTGCTGGAGCCCCAAAACCCACGCATGATTTCTTGAATATGCGTGCTTGCATACACACACAGATTTGGGAAAGTGCTGTGACTGGAACAGAGTGATTTGCAAGCAAATGTTCGACCAAATATTAGCTATAGTGATATAAATCCGTTGAAGCTTCGTGGTTAGGCTTGCACCCTCCAACACTGCCAGTGGAAGCTTCTATGTCCTGGGTGTGGATAAAACTACCTTACACAAGGTGGTCCAAACTACTGCAATCACGTTGCAGGCAGTTCCTTTGGAATTTGAAGCTCTTGTTATTGTATGACGCTTGTTCATGCATGGTTTGATCGTGCAATGCGTCATCGCTCTCCAGGGCAACAACCGTGACGGGGTGACCATCAGTTGGCAAAAAAGAGGTGGAGCAATGAACGCGCTTGCTTCTCAGTAATATGCATGCATGCATGCATGGACATGTGATTTGGATGGCATTTGAAGAACAAATTAGTACTAATGTTTTTGGTGCGCCAACTAGTCGTGCATGGATGATTGAACTTTTGCTTAAACCGGTAATCGGTAAGGAAACCTCAGATGGACTTCGCACTACCCACTCTGGAATCCTACAAACTAAATGAGCTGGCACCCTCGAGACTCCTTGTCTACATGCGTGCATGCTAGTACATGCACCCAATCAAGCCAAGGTGGGCATTGGCAAAAATGGTGGCTTCATGGGTGCCAGCTGCTAAGATCATGGAGTGAGCTCTCAGGAGTTTGCACCAGCAAGCCTGCCGGCTTGCTGAGGGAGTGTTTGGTAGAGATCTGCAATCGATTGGGGGCCGGGATGATTGGAAGGTCCCCGAGCACTTTTCCCTTGTAATCCGGTGAGCCTTAGCCCGGCGGGGGTTGCAAATGCCAAATATCCTCAGCAAATTGCAGTTGTGTTCTAGATGTTCTAGATGTTTTTAAGAATCTGGTGCAAATGCTGGCGACCCCCATTTTTGAAAGTCTGATTACCCTAACGCTGGAAGGGATCTCTTGAGCGGAAAAGGTTTATAATATCTAATTCCCTTTGTGAATGAATAACTATTCCTCTGACCCTCTAGCGGGTAGGGCTCAATTTGGTGTGTCGTTGCTCGATGTAGCTATGGATGCCTCTAGCTCTCACTAAGAGGCTGTGTGGAAGTCCCACACGCAATCAAGACCATGTCAAAAAGGGTGATTGAAAATCGATGTACCAGCTAGCTGTATATGCAATTTAAACATGCACCAATCTCAACCACCTACAAGCTGGGCAAATGCTCATGTTGCCCGCAGCGCTCTCGGCACCAGGGCCTCTTGGATCGTCTCATTCTTTGCGTTGCGTTGACAGGCCTAGGCTGGCTTCTGGGGTCATGGCGGGCACGAAGAAACGAGTTCGACCATCGTGGACGTCATCTCCGCTAGCTCTATCTCAGAGAGCTGCCAACTTGCTGTTGGCTTGGGGTCTTCCAGTGGTCATGTCCCTTGATAATGTTATGTGCACTTGAAGACTTTTAAACTAACGAGGAAACATGACTTACAGTGTTGCAAATCCCAGTTTTTATAGTTCATGACATTTTGCCTCTGGCTGAGGCTGCACCTAGTGGATCTTGCAGTCCAAACTGCACCACCCGATGAATCTATCCGCGTCGACTACTTATTTTCTGGAGAGTAGTTTGAGGTCCCGCTGGATTATCGCCACCGGTCTGTTCGGCCCAGGACTTGCACCTCATCGATGCCTTTGCTGGGGCTGGGGCCGTTTCCACTTACTGGAGTTGGGGGCCCAGGATGGTCGCAGGAGTTATAGGATCCGTTTCAATTTCGTATCACCCCTACAAACGCATGACTTCCAAGACTATCCTACATCCAATTAGAGCTTGAATGGGCCAAGGTAATCGTGGCCTAAAGGCGTGCAGCCCTCAGTGTCTTTATCGACCGGTGGGGATAGACTTTGTAAACGGACTACTATACTGTGAAACACATGCATGCATGTGGAGCAGTCTCGATATAGTATATAATATTAAGGAGATGCAGTGCACAAATGAATTAACTTTTAAATGGTCCATGTCTGTTCGTTCCCCCTACCAAGGGGGCGATTCGACATCAACGATGGTGTTCAAGGAGACATTTTGGATTCGCCGGCCCCTCAGGTCCATTGTTGTGGTCTAGTTATAGTGCGTCGTATGTTGAGCGGTTTGTCCACTCCGTCCTATATAGCTAGGACAACAGGTCTGTTGTAGGCGGACTCGAATAATCCCCACCAGCCATCTTACTCAACCTCTAGAGGAATCCCATGAGCTTTTAGTCCATGCTTTGGTCCGACCATTGGCCCATTGAGGTGGGGGTTCATCAACTGCATCCGCTTGGTGCTGCGCTTGGTTCCAGGCGGCCTTCTTTTAGGAGGCCCCCCGTGTGGGAGTTGGGTCTTCATCAACCGTGCTACAAGCAAGAGGTCTAAGACCAGAATCCTTGGAAACACAAAATTGAAGTATGTGGCCGACGCCAACTCGCCGCTTGAAACCTTTATGTGCGTTTGTGTGTGTGTTCCTTCTAATGTGTCCACCCCATGGCAACATAACAAACAAACAAACTGGGTCAAGTGTTTTACTGGTGTCCTGAATTTCATATGCTTTGGGGTTATGGTGCAGCCAAGGATTACATGTCGCTGGATTATTTTGGGTCTTCTAGCAACAGCTCGTGGATGCTGGTTCCTGACTGAGCAGCCTCGCTCCAGTATAATGCAGAGCTGTCCATATGTGCGGTACATGGCAATGGTTATCCGGCCCATCTTCTGGGGGGAAGTCAGTTTGTCTGATCCTTAACTTGGAGATATACCAGAAAAACAACTTCATGATTTGTTCGATCAGTGTACCTACTCTGCATATGGGTTTTGTACACCAGTTGCCAATTGGCACTAAGTCCCATGGGAAGCTATGGTCATTGGACGGCCAAACCTTCGATCGTTTTCGGCACATGGTCCCGGGCTCAACATTGAAGTGGTAGAGATCTTGGCAACCTAAGCATGAGCACGCCGGTGCTTTCTGGTGGTACGCTCAGGCCAGCCCTTGGAGGCCTCAAGAGAAAGCTATCTGGAAAAGACAAACGCCGTATCAAGAAAGCTAAAGTTTCTGATGCAAAGAAAGCAATGGTGAAGAAATCCTTGAAGGGAGGAAAGGTGACAGTGTTACTTGGTAATAATTGCTTGCCATATATAATGAGGTCCATCCATGCAAAGTCCGTTGCAAAGGGGTTTTGCATCTCACGCATGGAATATCGTGGACTTGGCCCTTGTCACATAGACTGATATATATGTCAGCTGAGGACTGGAGGGCCTGGATTGAAAGCTAGTGCCCAGTATCCAAAAGGTTTTGCAGTGAGCCTGTTCAAACTGCAGCACTCTCATAAGGTTCCTTGGTGGTGGATCGAGGCGTGTTTGATTAACCCAGTCAGGGTATGTCGGACAGTCCAACCAGTCGCAATCTCAGGATGTGGCAACACCGCCATATGTGGACCCCGCCGGTGATCACTGCCAAAAACCTGCAGCGCTCAAGGCTGGGAATTGGACAGAAAAAAACAAACAAACAAACATCTGTTCTGCAAATGCATGCCGCAGGGGGTGCAAACACCAATTATCTGGCAGACATGATGATATATTATTAATGTGCATCCAGATGGAATCCATGCACAGATTGGCACTTAATCAAGATTGTGGCATGGCGCTAAGCGAGCAAGTGAATTGTCATCTAGATGTTGCAACTGTCGCAAGGCACCATTCCGCTGGCGACATGCACGTCCTGCCGTCTTGAAGGCTTTTCTGAATGAGCAGGTGGAGTGTGGTGAGTACACACCACTGTTGTCATCCGGTCTCAATGAACTAGACTAGCTAGCCTAGCTAGGTATCCAGCAAATGGAAATGATTGGATCTAATTCGTGCTGAGCAGGCCAGCCTCTTCGTGTTGAGACTTTTGTTCCCGATTAATTCACCTGGCCACTGTTGGGGTGGCACATTGGATTGCAGGATGTGGTGTTGGTGGGAAGCACACATGCATTGCACTACTATCACTACTGTCATAAACACAACTGTATTGGAGTAACAGCTTTCAGGTGCTATTTACCCACCAAGTAGATGCCATATCACACAAGACTAGCAAGGCGGAGAAAACACTATAGGAGATGCGGATGGAACGACATAGGAAGAAACTGAGAGAGTGTGCGTCAGGGGAATGAACAGTTGTGAAAATGTGGTATCTACAACGTGGGCGTGAAACACCGTGAAACGCCCGTGAAACGCCCGTGAACCCCCTTTGTTTGCCGTGAACGCCCGTGAAACGACCGTGAAACGGGACCCCCCAATTTTGATAACATGGGTTAACATGTTTTTGGTCTCGTTGGCAAGTTGGGGTTATCTGGGAACATATTTAGTGCTCAAAGGCGGGTAGGCAGGGCGCTGTGTCAAGCGCTGCATCCATGGATCGGGTGCAGCGTGTGCTTGCTGAAGCGGCAGAAAGAGCACAAAGGCACGCTGAACTAAACGGC